CACACCCAGATCCGTTTCACAAAATGAAAAATCGGTTTTAAACGTTTGGGCCAAATTCGTTTTATAATACAGTTCCTAAAATTTCTTTAATTCAGTCGCACTTTTATCGGCCAAACCATTTCATAGATGAAGACGGCAAACGAACTGATTTATATTTAAGTGAATGTTTCGCTCTGAATCTGATAAACTGACCAGATGCATCGTTTGTTCGTTCCTGGAGTATTACGTCCACTTCCACCTAAGGTGGCATCGCAAACAAACCAGATGCATGGATGTAATTTAGTTTTATCCCAGCTACACTTAAGAATAACCAACCAATCACAGATAACCTGATAAACAACCTTTTCAGAAGAAGACAGTCTTCAAAACTGAAAGACTTCAATCAGTTTTCCTATTCAATTATACGAGTAATATTGAGAACTAAACCCACATAAAGACTAAAACATATCCACCATAATCCTAACAATACAATTCTAGATGCATACAATATATAATCCACCACCAAAACATTTATACAAATTTATATTGGCTTAAAAACAAAACTATACTTATTCAAAAGGTTCATTCCCATATCGCCGACTCACCGAGTTTTAGGGGAAAAATTTTGGTCGACGTTATGGGAATGAGTGGCCAAGAACAATAGACCCAAGCTGAAGGATAAACCTCATTAAGCAGATAATTTTGGGAGCATTTATTTTTTTTTTTAATTTATAATACATAACATAACACAATTTTAAATTTTTGCACGCAGTCCAACATAGTCCAAAAATTCTAATAAATTCAGTCTTCCTTGTTCATATCTATAACATCGTTATGCACTCTAAGGAGTGCGGTTTCAGTGTTATGCCCCTCTCGATAAGCAGACTGGAATTTACCGACCAGTGAGTTTCGATTGAGATAATCTATTATTTGAGATAAAATGATCTTTTCAAGCAATTTTGCTAAAAATGAAATATTTGACACTGGTCTATAACTTTTGAGTGCATTACGGTCAAGACTTGTTTTTTTAATCAGAGGTCTTACAATGGCCTCCTTACAATCATCCGAAAATACCAGAGGAGAGCACATCATTTATAATAATCGTCAAAGCTGGTGCTATTTCATCCAGACACTCTTTTAGTAGTTTTGTAGGAATTGGGTCCAGAGCACATGACTTACACTTCATTCGACACACCACTGATATTACATCATCAACATTCAATGGCTCAAAAGCAGAGAAATTACACTGGGGTGGGACATTAAAGTCAATAATGGTCTGTGGTGAAAATCAATTTCAGTGAACTATATTAATAATGACTGGTCCCTGCCTCATTAACGCTTTTAATCCGTTTTAATCCAATCAAAGGGTGCCGCGGTCGACTTTCCAAAACTCGGTGAGTCGGCGATATGGGAAGACCCCATTCAAAACACCAACTAATAAAGACACGACCAGGCCATTCATTAACAACTTACAATTGACAGAGTCTCAAAACACAACCCTGTTACAATTCGCATTGTGACGGCTTCGTTAGATCATTAACCCTTTCGTGGCCGATGGGTCAGAAATTGGCTGAACACCATAAAAAGACAATAATGGTGGATTTTAACGAAATTGCTTTGCAGGGGACAGTATTTAGTGGTTCGGAGATGATGAAAAACTGGGCCTGTGTACATTTTGTTGTGCACGTAAAAGAACCCTTGGCAGCTGGACGTCGAAAAAGAGTAAAAGAAAACGCCGCTGGCCGAACAAAATCTCCCTCGTAAGATGGCTGTATAAATTACAGTGTAGCGGTTATTATTTTAAAATATCTCCAATAATATTCATCCAAACGTTACCATTTTTCGATATGACAAGTACCATATATAAATATATTTAATACTCGTATGACATTGAATGATATCAATAACAGAAACAACAAATGCTATATTTCGGTTCTACATTTTATATTAAAAACTGCTACATATAGGTTACATGGTTACAAGCATTATAATAAAGTCATTCTCTCAAACTCCATCCAGCCAAACTCGGCGAGTCTGCTGATAGAGAAACGCTACATCCTCTCCCTTCAAGAACTACATGGCTGTCTGCCATAGCGTCCAAATCCAGTTACTTGTTTATGCCGAGATTTCCGCTACTAATTATTCAATTGGCCAAATATTACGTAATTTTAATCATGTGGTTGGTCATGCCTCATGCCTTGCATACCAATAGGGTCTCATTACCAAATTTGGTCAACAGGTCACATGCCATTAAGATGACGTATGATAAATGTGTTTATTAACCTATAGTTCAATTCATGTATCATATCAGCACAGATTTCCCTTCTGTTTTCCTCACAATATTTCATAACCAATTTAATTTGCGTTTTAAATAAACTCATACCATAACTAATATACTGACAATGGAGAATAGAAATAAAACATATGTAATTATCAAATTATAACTCATATTCTCTGGTGCACTTATATTCGTCTAATACAATTTCGCATAAATTATCAAATAGTATCACAGTATATATAACATTAGGACTCAAAGTATTTTTGGTGTAAAAGTGTAAGGGTCTATCTACCTAATTTTATGTATGGGTCCAAGTTTTCTTCTAGTGACCTCAGCCCTGTCGTGGAGAGTGGATATAGAGATCAGTTGATTTCTTCTTTTTTTTTAAAAAAAAAAATGTAGTTTTCGTTGCTTTAATTACGCATGTAATAACTTTGTTTTGGATAATTTATTCTTCTTCAGGACGAAAAACATTGACCTGTAGAATCATAAGAATCATTGAAAAAAACATTGCATTTTTCAGCTATTTTGGTGACCATTATTTAATTCTGGCAACCATTTTTTTTTATCAGTATGTGAATTTCCCGAAAGTTTTAAATCAGAGGTTAGGTTACGATCTTGATAGCCTACATGAAGAACACATTATGCTCTGAAACCAACAGAAGTTAAGGGTCTATTTAATCATTGGAAATTAATTGACCCCTGCTCCTATGATTGTGATTGAGGGTGACAACTGATCTTGATATTTTGTTAATACGGTTACGTGCAATCATGTTTATTCCGATAGGAACATATTAATTTCAATGTTTTCTTCTCATAAGTCAACAAAATTTCGAAATCTCACAAAATATTCAAGTTTTATTATTTTTCAACATTTCAACAATAAATCATCTATAACATCTTTCAACATCTGATAATTATAAATTTCTTCTGGCAGAAAGACTGAGTGAATGAGATTCGCTGTAAAATAAAACAATAGAAACATTTTTAAGTAGCCTATCACAAATCAAAAGAGTTTCATGGATTATTTATCGTCAATAGGCCTACAATATGTAGTTATCTCTCTTGAATCAATATTTCTCAACTTTTTGTCTGTTATTCTATAGCAAAACGAAGCTTTTATACCTTAATTCTAAAAAGGAATGGTCTAAATGGATGAGCATATTTAACCGGTGACTTTTCCTGAACTCAAAACCTAGGCTATACATCTATTATATAAATTTCTACAATTTTCAATATCTCTCAACAGTGTTGTGCCTTGATTTCCCAAAAATTCAATACGACTGTGTTGCTAAGCAACATCACACGGTTCTGGTTCTAGCCTACTAACATTGCGCAAATAATTTTTTTTATATACCGGTATAATGCATAATGATGACAGCAATATTCAAAAATAGTATAATCTGATTCGAAAGATGAATATTTACAAATGACCAATCAAACAAATCAAGCTAAATTGTATTTTATTTTAATAATTGTCAGGGAAATACGTCGATCTGGCCTTCAAATAATCTTAAACAATCACGTATGGTGTGTGTATGAAATAATTAGTACTGGGTATTTATGTTGTTTTTTCCAACACATTATTAGGTCCAACACATATTTAAACGAAGAAATTTACCTAGCAAAGATTTGGGGTTATTTTTGGACATTGCACTGGTCCTGTCTCGAAACTCCAAGGGGGATCCGACAGTCAGTGCTCTCTATTTAGATACAATTAAGTATATGACCCCAGAATGATAACAAATCAAGAAAGCAGTGATTTTCTAGACTGAAAATATACATTTTTAAAAATGGCTGATCTGATCAGCGATAACTTGTCAATTATTGAAAAATAGCACGTGGCGTCAATGTTTTTAACATTCTAATTCAATTACGTCTTTTGGCAAACGACCGTCGTCAAGTGACGTCATTCAGCAGACGACAGTCAACAAGAGATTTCATTTAGCAGAAGAATGTTGTGAAGACAGGTTGACTCAGTTGCAGAATTTTTTTTCTTTCTTGTACATAATCTTGTACATGGAAATGTGGTCATATTACCGATCGGCTATCAATCCGTCCGTCGTCCACAATTTAGTGAAACGATGAAGTCTATTTAATTACTTCAAGACTTAGACTAGAGTTATGGTCGGTGTTACACATTAGGCCTATATCTATATGGTTGAACCTTGTCGTCAAGTGACGTCATTCAGCAGACGACAGTCAACAAGAGATTTCATTTAGCAGAAGAATGTTGTGAAGACAGGTTGACTCAGTTGCAGAATTTTTTTCTTTCTTGTACATAATCTTGTACATGGAAATGTGGTCATATTACCGATCGGCTATCAATCCGTCCGTCGTCCACAATTTAGTGAAACGATGAAGTCTATTTAATTACTTCAAGACTTAGACTAGAGTTATGGTCGGTGTTACACATTAGGCCTATATCTATATGGTTGAACCTTGTGAAAGCTGTAACGACTAAAGTATGTTTAATACATAGGTACGGTAGCCTTTATTTATAATCACTTGGTTTGATTACAATCTGTTCTGTGTCTTGTCAGAGTGGGGTTGTCTTCTGGGCTTTTATCAAATCTGGTCGTATATATATTGTCGTCACCCCAACGTGCGAATTCGCCTCCCGTGCGCCCCCTCCTGCCTGTGGTCTCTGGATCCGCTCTTTTGTTTCGTTGTCTGGCAGCCTATCTTTGTTTAAATAGTACGGTTCAGCACTTACTAGGACTAATATATGTTTCTATTACAGATACGGATGATACAGATCACTTACTAATAGATGAAGAAAGCAAAGGGATGACAATTCCAGGTATGTCATTACGTTTTAGCCATTTTAATTTTAATTAATAATTAAAGAAATGGCAAGTAAGTGTGAATTTAGGGGTGGGGCAAACGTAGCGCCCCCCCCCCCCCCCGCCACTATGTCGATCCAGTGGACGCACTTTAAAACAGATTCTTGTCTCACTCAGGTCACTGGAAAAATGGTATTCCGGGTTTCTAGTTTTCGAAATTTTCCGCAATGGTCGCTGGATCCGCCCTTGGTGTGCGTATGTTTCGTTGTCTGGCAACCCATCTTTGTTCACATGGTACGGTTCTTCTGTACTTACTAATATATCTTTCTTAGGAGGGGGTGCTCCTACGACTTCGCCGCGTGCGCCCCCTCCTGTCCATGGTCCCTGGATCCGCCCTTGGTGTGAGTTTGTTTCATTGTCTGGCAACCTATCTTTGTTCTGTACTTACTAATATATATGTTTCTATTACAGATACTGATGAAGAAAGCAAAGGGATGACAATTCCAGGTATGTCATTACGTTTTAGCCATTTTAATTAAAAAATAAAGAAATGGCAAGTAATTTTCTAGTTGAAGTGTTTTTAAGCCAGGGGTTGTATATCTTTCACATGTTGTGACAAACCATGGTCAAGGGTTATAAATATAATTAAAATAACTCAGGTGTATATCCTACTCGAAATTACCCCACCTGTACGTTCAGACAACAAAGATAACCTAGTTTAAAGATGGCCAGGGTTTTTAACCACCATCAGAACGATATATATGAACAGGTAATCAACTAGTATGAATATTATATAATTTCAGATGATGTTAAATATAGTCAGACATCTATACAAAACAATATGGCCACCACCATCACATCAACAACTCCATTATTAAACCAACCATTTGTTACACAAGATGTAATAACAACTAACTATAATAAAACAACCGACAACAATAAAATGGACTGGGAATCAATACGTCAAACTTGTCGATATGGTACACTTGATGACGTCAACACTTTAATACATCAAAATATCAATTTAAATATTCCTGTCGGTGATGATAATAATAGGACACCAGTATTTTATTGTGTATCGTCTGACATACAGCCGTTAGATAAGATACAATTACTCTACTCTGCTGGTGCCATGTTACATGTAAAGAGTCGTTATGGTTATAGTTTATTACACTGGGCGTGTTGGCGTGGTACAATAGACTGTGTAAAATATTTATTGGAACAAGGACTTGATACAAATGATAGGAATGATGCTAATATGACACCAGTATTTTATTGTGTATTGTCTGACAAACAGCCGTTAGATAAGATACAATTACTCTACTCTGCTGGTGCCATGTTAGATGTTAAGAGTGATCTTGGTAGTAGTTTATTAGAATATGCTCGTCGGTGGGGTAGAAAAGAATGTGTATCATATTTACGTGAATTAGGCCTTGATAAAAGAATATAAATGTCAAGTGTCGTGATTATGGTAGTTTATTAGACTGGACTCGTCGGTGGCGTAAATCAAAATGTGTATCATATTTATTTTAAATAGGCCTTGATAAATAGAATATAAATAATCATACAACATCTTTATTTTACTTGTTAATAATTCTGTTAGAACTAAATGATGAAGATGTTTTATTTTGATGTAAATTTAAAGATTTGTTATAAACCATTTTCTGTCAATCAACAACATTCTGTACACAGACTGGCTACCTGTCAGCCATTAAAACTAGTAACACGTCATTACAAGTTTTTACAACGTCATTGGTTATTACGTCACAAGTCAATAGGTCACGTTAAATCTATTTATAAACAAATTGAAAGTAGTATTACCAGGTTGAATAACAGGAATAGAAAATCAACTGATGTGATGTTTTGGTGGTCATCAAAGTCAACTTTAACCCAATATTGTTTTAAATAACAACACAATGAATTATATTAACCAAGAGATATGATTGGAGAGGAATAGAATAATATTTGAAATGATGTTGAAAGAATATATTTACTATAGAAGGTAAGAAAAATTGATTTATTTTTCATTTTATAAACTGACATCCACTTTTCTCATGTCAGACTCGGGGTTAAATGATTAAAGCCTATTTGATTTCTAGAATATATCTCTCCAGATTTCTTTGTTTATATTTGTTGTTGTTTACCAGTAATCACATGGAACTTGATTCTGTCTATCTTGACATAGACTCGTTATTTACGATTTAATTTAGAAATATTTTTTTTTGAATGAAGTGATACGGCAGACAAGTTTTAAATTCTGGTTTAAGGGGAGATTTACTATATTACTTAGAAATATTTGTAAATTGTTTTTTTTGAGTGATGGATAAGGCAGACAAATTTAAGGGGAGATAAATCAAAATAGAGTTATCCTTTGTGGATGATATAGAAATAGGATTTAATCCATTTGACCAACTGGAGAATTTCTAATAATTTAACCTTAAAATACAATAAATACAGTTACATTGTTAGTTATGTGCAAAAACACTACAAAATATATCTAAAAAAATTTGAATAATGTTATAAATTGTATAAACAATACCTTGATATGTTTTTAGCGTCTTGTAAATATTGTCTCCATTATCTATAAAAGAAAACGTATGTTTTGTTTATGTTTTTCAGAGCTGCTGTATTCGAACATAAACCGTCATTAAAAGTTGTTTGTGATTATTTGATACTTGATTGTGTCAAGAGATATCCACTAGAAAACTGTCCACTGTGTAAAAAACATGTTTTAGCTGAAGATCCTGAGGTAATGGTTTTTATATTTTGTCTAATAACCAAAGAATATCAATTCCCTAACAACAAACTTGACAAAGACTGTATAATAATAATAATGGTTTAATTTAGGATGCAGCCGTTTATTATAAACTAGTTGGAAAAAAAAAATATTAAATCTAAAACTTTAAGTCAGAACAATTAGATAATGTGTGAAAAATATTTTATTTCAGAATCAATTGAAAGGTCGTAAAAATCAGATAGAGAGAGTTTATTGTGGTCATCTGTTTCATAATGGTTGTTTAGATACGTACATGAAAACACCTTCATTTATAGGTAAATATTTATAATACTGCTGGAAGTCATGGCGACCGTCTTCATTACCTCAGTTGGTGAAGAAAACTAAAACTTTACACCTGCTTAAATGATATGTTTATTAAGTGTTACTTGTGTCTTCTATTCGTTTTGTTTAATTTTTAAATTTGCTCGATATTCAAACCACGGATCTCACTTTAGATAGTTGACTGAAAATTAAAAGTGTATTCTGTTATTTGACTGAGTCAGAAACGCAAGGCTCCATATTGTACACATTGTCGTGCACGTAATAGAACCCTTGACAGACAGTTGGAATGTCGTGGAAGACTAGATGGGAATGTCGCTGTCTGAGTAAACTTTCCCTCATAGCACACTGTATGACGTATGTCGATCTTAATTAGTCCTGTAGAAGCAGAAAAGTAGGACGTTAAACCCCATTTCATGTTATATCACTTAATCTACATTTAAAATAAATAGTAACACATAATATAAGATTATGTTTGGGGTTTTTTTCAGGAGGTAAAAAATGTCCTTCCTGTGATAAACGAATGAAAAATGGAAAGTGTCAGCTGAAGTAATGGAGAATAGATGTGCACATAAACAAGCTAAACAAAGAGAACTAGAAGAAGTTGTAGATTTCTTTAAAAAATTGAAATAATTTAAAATATACCTCTACTTTTGTAGATAAACATACCAAATATGTATATTCCACAATCTTGGCTTCAAATTTACAAAAATATTTATTTACATTGTATTCAATGTCTGACATTTGAGATATTGAGGAATCCTTTACAAACTACAATATTGTAAAAATTGAATCTCTGGAAGGCGTGTCAGTATAAAAATATTCTGTTGAGTATTTTACAAAGATATGATGAATTAAAAACGTGTCAATATTCGGAATCTTCTACAGATGATATAAATGGGGTATGATCAAAAGTCAAGGCCACCTGTAATCTTCTGTTTTATCCGACTTGGGAGATTTTCTATCGTTAATTTTTCTTTCTTAAATATGCAATATATACTATTCAAAAAAAGTAGGGGATATTTGATTTTGGGGGCATAATACTAAAATATGCAAATGACTACGAAAAAAGTCACTATAGAACCTAACAGAAGAAACATTTCCATTTATATGTGACGCCCAAACGCACCAATGGCTACCGCATGGAATGCAGGTGATGCTTGGGATCATCATGGGGGTCCAACCCAAGATTTGCACGACTCTGACTTTGAATGTTACAGTCATTGTGGCATTGAATTCCAGGGTGGAAACATCAGTTTAATTGTTTTAGTGACCAGAAAACAAATTTTGATATGCGTCGGCTTACCCAAAATGAAAGGTTACGTGCCCTTGGCATGCTACAGATCGGCACAACACAGGCGGTTGTGGCTTGGACGATGAATGTTTCTCAGTCTGTCATAAGCAGGCTATGATCCAGATACCGTGATACACAATCTGTACAGGACAGACCACGCTCAGGTCGACCAAGGGCGACAACTCAAGCCCAGGATCGATTTATCCGTACCTTGGCCTTGAGAAATCGTGTCATCACAGCAAATCAGATCAGCGCTCGTCTTCAAACAGACACTGGTGTGAGAGTGAGTGGCCAGACGATTCGGAATCGACTGCATAGGGGTCACCTTCGCGCCCGACGTCCTCGCGTGATCCCTTGTTTGAGAGATCATCACATTCAGGCAAGACGTCGTTGGTGTAGGGATCGTCAACACTGGGATAATCGACGCTGGAGCAATGTGATGTTTTCAGATGAGTCAAGGTTCACTGTTGATTTTTTGGACAGACGTAGGAGGGTGTGGCGTCGTCGAAACGAGCGCTTCCAAGACGTTAACGTCATCAGACATGATCGATTTGGGGGTGGTTCTGTTATGGTGTGGGGAGGCATCACTGTTGCTGGAAGAACGGCTTTACATGTTGTTGCAGGGCGTGTTACAGGCCAGTACTACCGGGACAACATCTTGGCAATCCATGTTGTGCCGTTCGCACGACGTCATGGCCTCCGTTTCATCTTCCAGGATGACAACGCAAGATGTCACAGGGCCAGGATCGTTACAGGTTACCTCCAACAACAGAACATCACCACATTACCTTGGCCAGCACTGAGTCCCGACCTCTCCCCCATCGAGCATGTCTGGGACATGCTTGGACAGAGGTTACGTCAACGTCAACAACGTCCTGCCAATGTCCAAGAACTTGCTGCTGCGTTGCAACAGGAATGGGACAATCTGGACCAAAATGACCTTAGACGTCTCATTAGGAGTATGCCACGTCGGATCAATGCTTGTTTGGCAAACAGAGGAGGATTTACCCGTTGCTGACTTGGTTGTAATGCTGTGGTAACTTTGCTGTTTGACCCCGGGTATCATTTTACCCTTATAATGGTCAGTCTGTGCCTTACTTAGTCTAACGATCATTTGGAATAAATCGATGAATGTGAACTTCATTTCATTTTGTCATTTGTTTCTTCGTCAGTTTCATTATGTGACTTTAATAACACTTAAAAATCAAATATCCCCTACTTTTTTTGAATAGTATATTGTAATATATAGAATCCGGTCTTTTATATAGGCCTATTGTAATATTTGATATAAAACTTACAAGTTCTACTTACTTGTTAGCCTCCATCTTGTGTCACGTCCATCTTAGCACCGACTTCTCAGATTGTTACATATATTTCTATTTGATCATTGTTAACACTAGTATTTCATCTTGGTTGTTATAATAATTATGTTTTATAACCAGAGTCCAGCTATGTGGTTTTTACTCCGAGAACTTCGCTTTTCCACATTAAACAGTGGATTCTTTTTCCCACAGGTTTTTTTTTCAATCCGCTGCGATGGCATCAAACAGCTGGATCTCCTATTTTAACTTGTTTTAATTATACTATTCAAAAAAAGTAGGGGATATTTGATTTTGGGGGCATAATACTAAAATATACAAATGACTACGAAAAAAGTCACTATAGAACCTAACAGAAGAAACATTTCCAGTTACATGTGACGCCCAAACGCACCAATAGCTATCGCATGGAATGCAGGTGATGCTTGGGATCATCATGGGGGTCCAACCCAAGATTTGCACGACTCTGACAGTCATTGTGGCATTGAATTCCAGGGTGGAAACATCAGTTTAATTGTTTTAGTGACCAGAAAACAAATTTTGATATGCGTCGGCTTACCCAAAATGAAAGGTTACGTGCCCTTGGCATGCTACAGATCGGCACAACACAGGCGGTTGTGGCGCGGACGATGAATGTTTCTCAGTCTGTCATAAGCAGGCCATGGTCCAGATACCGTGATACACAATCTGTACAGGATAGACCACGCTCAGGTCGACCAAGGGCGACAACTCAAGCCCAGGATCGATTTATCCGTACCTTGGCCTTGAGAAATCGTGTCATCACAGCAAATCAGATCAGCGCTCGTCTTCAAACAGACACTGGTGTGAGAGTGAGTGGCCAGACGATTCGGAATCGACTGCATAGGGGTCACCTTCGCGCCCGACGTCCTCGCGTGATCCCTTGTTTGAGAGATCATCACATTCAGGCAAGACGTCGTTGGTGTAGGGATCGTCAACACTGGGATAATCGACGCTGGAGCAATGTGATGTTTTCAGATGAGTCAAGGTTCACTGTTGATTTTTTGGACAGACGTAGGAGGGTGTGGCGTCGTCGAAACGAGCGCTTCCAAGACGTTAACGTCATCAGACATGATCGATTTGGGGGTGGTTCTGTTATGGTGTGGGGAGGCATCACTGTTGCTGGAAGAACGGCTTTACATGTTGTTGCAGGGCGTGTTACAGGCCAGTACTACCGGGACAACATCTTGGCAATCCATGTTGTGCCGTTCGCACGACGTCATGGCCTCCGTTTCATCTTCCAGGATGACAACGCAAGATGTCACAGGGCCAGGATCGTTACAGGTTACCTCCAACAACAGAACATCACCACATTACCTTGGCCAGCACTGAGTCCCGACCTCTCCCCCATCGAGCATGTCTGGGACATGCTTGGACAGAGGTTACGTCAACGTCAACAACGTCCTGCCAATGTCCAAGAACTTGCTGCTGCGTTGCAACAGGAATGGGACAATCTGGACCAAAATGACCTTAGACGTCTCATTAGGAGTATGCCACGTCGGATCAATGCTTGTTTGGCAAACAGAGGAGGATTTACCCGTTGCTGACTTGGTTGTAATGCTGTGGTAACTTTGCTGTTTGACCCCGGGTATCATTTTACCCTTATAATGGTCAGTCTGTGCCTTACTTAGTCTAACGATCATTTGGAATAAATCGATGAATGTGAACTTCATTTCATTTTGTCATTTGTTTCTTCGTCAGTTTCATTATGTGACTTTAATAACACTTAAAAATCAAATATCCCCTACTTTTTTTGAATAGTATATTGTAATATATAGAATCCGGTCTTTTATATAGGCCTATTGTAATATTTGATATAAAACTTACAAGTTCTACTTACTTGTTAGCCTCCATCTTGTGTCACGTCCATCTTAGCACCGACTTCTCAGATTGTTACATATATTTCTATTTGATCATTGTTAACACTAGTATTTCATCTTGGTTGTTATAATAATTATGTTTTATAACCAGAGTCCAGCTATGTGGTTTTTACTCCGAGAACTTCGCTTTTCCACATTAAACAGTGGATTCTTTTTCCCACAGGTTTTTTTTTCAATCCGCTGCGATGGCATCAAACAGCTGGATCTCCTATTTTAACTTGTTTTAATTATACTATTCAAAAAAAGTAGGGGATATTTGATTTTGGGGGCATAATACTAAAATATACAAATGACTACGAAAAAGGTCACTATAGAACCTAACAGAAGAAACATTTCCAGTTACATGTGACGCCCAAACGCACCAATAGCTATCGCATGGAATGCAGGTGATGCTTGGGATCATCATGGGGGTCCAACCCAAGATTTGCACGACTCTGACAGTCATTGTGGCATTGAATTCCAGGGTGGAAACATCAGTTTAATTGTTTTAGTGACCAGAAAACAAATTTTGATATGCGTCGGCTTACCCAAAATGAAAGGTTACGTGCCCTTGGCATGCTACAGATCGGCACAACACAGGCGGTTGTGGCGCGGACGATGAATGTTTCTCAGTCTGTCATAAGCAGGCCATGGTCCAGATACCGTGATACACAATCTGTACAGGATAGACCACGCTCAGGTCGACCAAGGGCGACAACTCAAGCCCAGGATCGATTTATCCGTACCTTGGCCTTGAGAAATCGTGTCATCACAGCAAATCAGATCAGCGCTCGTCTTCAAACAGACACTGGTGTGAGAGTGAGTGGCCAGACGATTCGGAATCGACTGCATAGGGGTCACCTTCGCGCCCGACGTCCTCGCGTGATCCCTTGTTTGAGAGATCATCACATTCAGGCAAGACGTCGTTGGTGTAGGGATCGTCAACACTGGGATAATCGACGCTGGAGCAATGTGATGTTTTCAGATGAGTCAAGGTTCACTGTTGATTTTTTGGACAGACGTAGGAGGGTGTGGCGTCGTCGAAACGAGCGCTTCCAAGACGTTAACGTCATCAGACATGATCGATTTGGGGGTGGTTCTGTTATGGTGTGGGGAGGCATCACTGTTGCTGGAAGAACGGCTTTACATGTTGTTGCAGGGCGTGTTACAGGCCAGTACTACCGGGACAACATCTTGGCAGTCCATGTTGTGCCATTCGCACGACGTCATGGCCGCCGTTTCATCTTCCAGGATGACAACGCAAGATGTCACAGGGCCAGGATCGTTACAGGTTACCTCCAACAACAGAACATCACCACATTACCTTGGCCAGCACTGAGTCCCGACCTCTCCCCCATCGAGCATATCTGGGACATGCTTGGACAGAGGTTACCGCAACGTCAACAACGTCCTGCCAATGTCCAAGAACTTGCTGCTGCGTTGCAACAGGAATGGGACAATCTGGACCAAAATGACCTTAGACGTCTCATTAGGAGTATGCCACGTCGGATCAATGCTTGTTTGGCAAACAGAGGAGGATTTACCCGTTACTGACTTGGTTGTGATGCTGTGGTAACTTTGCTGTTTGACCCCGGGTATCATTTTACCCTTATAATGGTCAGTCTGTGCCTTACTTAGTCTAACGATCATTTGGAATAAATCGATGAATGTGAACTTCATTTCATTTTGTCATTTGTTTCTTCGTCAGTTTCATTAGGTGACTTTAATAACACTTAAAAATCAAATATCCCCTACTTTTTTTGAATAGTATATGACAAAGTGAGAAGATGACCAGCCCTCTCTTCTCTTCTCACGACAGCGATGTTAAAACTGTGTTTTAAAGTAACTTTTAGATATACAAGAACTTTTTATTATTTAGTGTTTTTACCTATTTTCTATATATTACTCATTCAGATGTAAATAACTTAATTAAATCAACCTGTCCATAATATCGTGCAATAAACAACAACAACGCCCTAAGGGCAGATAACTGTTCGTTGTATTAATATGTAACCAAGAGATAAAACCGAAACTTTTTAACAACTACCATATATTCACAACCTTTTAACTAATTAGAAAGGTGAGAATCGTGGTCGTGATGGAACTTGGTCATACATGTTAATGTTACAAATGTCATCATTAATCGGCAGAATATGCCGCCATTATCACCGGGTAAACCAATGTGCGACGTCAAGGACGTTAAGGGTTTGTGAACGTTATCTCCCATATTTAATATATTATAGAATGATTTACTAACTATTTTATTGTTATTCATGACATGACATAACCTTGAAATAAAGGAACGGGCATATTGAACGTATTATTAGTCTTAGTCGTTAGACATTGAAGGAGGAAAACAACAGATAATAAGACGCCAGCTCGGAGATCCTGACAAGTCCAGCTATTTGGCTATCCCACTCTCCCATCCCCACATTTATTTTATAGTAGACATCGATACGGACAGGGTGTCGATAACCTTACAATATAAGATTTAGATAAAGAGCTGACAGTTCTTGCTATAATAGTTCTTGTTGCTTATGGTGGGCCTATAGGAGGCGTGATTCAAGCTCCTGTCTGTTTTAAAAATATTTTTTATAATTCTTATACTCATCTCATAAATTATAAATATTTTATATTAGTTAATAAACAATGTAATATTGTTTTTAAATCATTTATATATAATGAAAAATCAACATCCATATGTATACATATTGGTGTGCACGTAGAAAACCCATTGACAGTTGGAAATCGAGAAAGAGGTTCATGGAAAGGCCACTGTCTGGGTAAAATTCTCCTATCTCACATTGTCCATAAAACCATAGAAATAAACATTACAATATGTTTTTTTGCTAACTGTCAGCAGTCGTTTTACACGCTTGCCACTGTGTTCACGACTAGACGTGGGTTTTTCATACAATCCAATCTACTTGTCAGCCAAAAAGGTGAAGATCAGGCTTGGTATTTTCATTATATAACTGGTTTTCTAGTTTAGATAACGCTGGTACGAAATATTTTGCCTTGGTTTACTTATCAGTAGGCCACGGGTTTGATTTTTATGGAAGGGAACAGTGTCTAGTCATTCGGGTGGGACAAAAAACGCTGCTGTCCGGACAGAACAGTGAACCGGTAAACCTGATTTCACTTGAATTGAGCCAGGGCTTGGATTTTATTTTAATTATCTGGATTATTATAGGAAATACGTCCACATAACAGCCATGTCTTGACAGCTTCTGATCCGAAAGCAAAACATTAATAATGTTAAACAAATTTGACATGGTTGCCTTCAACCTCTATCCTGTTCGGAAAAGAAGGGTGACTCGGGAACAGAATGTCCCAAAACTGAATATTTATAGGATTCGTCATCCTTTTATACCAGATGTGGAACAAAATCATTCAAAACCACAGCCTCTAACTGTGGGACGGAAGGTTATGGAATGCCGAGTATCGATTTTGTCCTCCAATGACTTCAATACTTCATAGTAAATTCGAAAGAGAATCTGTTAGAACATCGGTGTAGGACGCAGGGCCTGGCAAGGACAGGGCCTAGTGTTGTAGGACGCAGGGCCTGGCAAGACAGGGTCTAGTGTTGTAGGACGCAGGGCCTGGCAAGGACAGTGTCTAGTGGTGTAGGCCGCAGGACCTGGCAAGGACAGGGTCTAGTGGTGTAGGACGCAGGGCCTGGTTATCTAGCTGTTTGGATGGGACAAAAAATCGAGATCCCGTGTACAAATAGGCAGACACGTAAAAGAACCCTTGACAGTTGAAATTCGAAATAAGAGTAGACTGTAGCCTCTTATACCACACTGTAAGGTGTAAACTGGTCTTCATTATTCCAGATATTAAACCCCATTTCTTTAAGCAGCAATCGAGTCACAAGATTTATGACAAATGGGCGGGGGGGGGGGGGGGGTAACTCTAAACGGTAAGGTCATGCAACGCTGAATATGGATAGGATTCGTCCTCTGATGACCCCAGGGCGGTTGGATGGTCAAACACTTCCAGTTGCATGGTTTCGATACCCCACATGCACGTAAGTAAGGTTACCTCTCACTGATAAAGACCCATACTGGCAAACAAATTATTGATATGAAATTGGACCACATGTTAGTCCCGAAATGTCATGGTTTAAACCCTGTTTATCTTTCTTCCTCGTGCATAGGGGTACGGCCAGGGGGTGGGTGGGGCAAAATGACTTTTCGGGCAGACAAGTAAAGTAAACACAGAAATTATTATTAAATCTAGGTGGCAAACAAAAGTGCCCGAACTCTAATAACACACTAATTTGACACCAAATAATTACACCTCTAACTGCATGCTGGCCACAAACGGTGCCATCTTTAGTTTATTTTATCGCTGATAGATGGCCCTGGGATAGCCTGGTACAGAATCAACATGTCAGCCCCCCAGTGGAAGTAGGCGAGTTTGACTTTCCGACTGGCAAAGTGCTATATCAGTTTAGTAAAATGTTTGTTCAAAGAATAAGAAATAAACGTGGCCACAATGCACACAGTAGTGACCCTATACATGCCATATATATGTTGCCGGTATGCACCAAGATGCAAGCTCGAAACATATTCTTCCAGGTGTAGTAGAACAACGTGTGTGAAAAGCAAGGTCTTCCCCTGGGGGTCACGGTGGCTTGGTTGGCAAGACGCTGACTCGCTAGCCTGGAGGCCGTGTGTTCAATCCCTGCATTGGCATAGAAAGTTCATCCAGATTTTCCGGCCTGGTTCCCCCTTGTCAGTGATGCAGGATGGAGGGCCTGACAAGGAAAGCTGTCTAGTCGTTCGGATGGGACGAATAACCGAGGTCTCGTGTACATATTGGCGTGCACGTAAAAGATCAGTTGGCAGTTGGAATTCGATATAAGTGTAGGCCGTAGTGCTGCCGTCCGGGCAAAATTTCCCTCATAGTACACTGTATGGCGTATGCCCGTCTTCATTAGCCCAGTTAGGAGCAGAGCAGTAGGACGTTAAACCCCATTTCATTTCATGTCTTCCTCTGTTGCGATGGGACATCCAGCTGCTCTACTATGACTGTCATAAGCATAGAGATAAGATAGGTGGAGGCTATTGCTGGCCTGGTATATGCCTTGCTTGTGGGGCAGAGAAAATCCCTTTGTTGTAGTTACTCCTCAAGTTCAGACAATCAGACATAAGTAATGTTAGTGCAATGTCTTCTGTTTGGATTGGCCAAACATCCGCACACTGCTAAAAGTTGATAAAATTGTTGATAAAATTCACAGCATGTCAATTATATACATCTGAGCACGACAAGTATTTTCCACTTTTGTCTTCTATTCCTTCCATTTTGTGCATAGTTGCATCAGATGTGTGTCCCTACCGCCACCCAGGGCTGCATGGTGGCATCAGATGTGTGTCCCTATCACCACCCAGAGCTGCATGGTGACCCCCCCCCCACCTAAACTCCCAATTTAGGAACCATAATTGAAAAACGGGTATTGGATATGTCTAATAATGTGAAAATACATGTCTGGTTGGAATTTGACATTTCTGGTAAAAGAACAAATTGCTCTATGCAAGAAAGGGTTAAAACTATAGCTTCTATTCACAACGTTGTCGGAAAAGGGGACGAGGAAAGTCACGCAACGCTGACCGACAGACAGGGTGACGACTATATACGCCTGGGCGGTCCCTGGGCCCTCGCCTCAAGTCCTAGAATGGTAGCCACCCCAATATAAAAATTGCTTCCGCCGGCCCTGTAGAACACAGATCCTATTTCTATTTATAGTTCAAATTTCTTTTATTAGGCTCCGAGACATTTTAAATAAACCACATTATTTTTAAAATACTCGTATTGTTTAGGAAACTTGATGCGAGGTTTGCACTGAATTATGAGGAGATATCACATTGTATGGCGTATACCCGTCTTCATTAGTCCATTTTGAGCAGAACGGGAGTTTAAAAATCCTATTTCATTTCATTTCCATCAATTTTAAAATGTCTATAATTTGACATTTGTGTTGATTGGTGAATCAATGAAAAATACCATATTAAAGCAATGGTTATATAAATATGTTTTTATTGTATTTTTTCTATTGTATTTTTTCCAGTTTACAGTGGCGGATCTTGGATCTTGGATCTTTCCGTGTAGCCCCCCCCCCCCCAGCCCCTAAGAAAGATTGGAAAATTGGACTGCCCAAAACGCGTTTTTCGTTTTCCTGCTACTCCAGCACGTGAATACAGCAACTTCAATGTGGTCCAATATAGCCTAACTTAGGTGGCTGACCTGAATTCCTAACAGCTAAATGTTTAGTCCACGGGCCAAGGCCGGCCTCACCGAGAAATCAAGGGATGAATAAACTACTAGACTGCTAAATTTCAGAAGCCTCCTATGTTGCATTTTCAAAATCGAGTTAGGGTAGGCTCAATGCGCACACAAAAACTTCTAAGCTAGCTAGCTTTAATGACTCGAAGATCTTTATTTCACTAAATCCACAGAAGCAAAAGTTATGAAAATGTCAAATTTCATTAACTACTATGTTGATTATCGATTTAAAACATGTTGCAAATTTCACTCGGATTCGAGGCGAGGTTCATGGGTTCAATAAACACAGGGTACGCCCACGCTGCATCAAAAATTACCCAAACCAGCCGCCATTTTGGATTTTGACTGCCATATTGGATCATCCGTTTGATCACAATGAGTCCATTGACCAACAACGACATATAACACATGGGTTATTTTCATCAACAATGTTTATAAAACCCAATTTCAGAATACAAATGAGTCCGTCATTGCTTGCCGCCATCTTTTGGTAACGACGGTGACTCAGTGAGTAAGACATTGGCTCATTAATCTGGACGTCCCGTGTTCAATCCCTGCGTTGGCCAAGAAAGTTCAATAGGATTTTCCTTCAAAAGTTATGCTCCTTTTCCGACAACCTTGTGAAAACAACATAGACTATAGCTTTTAATAGATCTTTTTGAAATTCGGTGTGGGTTTAACATCCACTCGACACAAACCATTTCGGGACGAACATGTGGTTCAATTTATATCAATAACTCATTTGTGCTGATAATAGATCTTTATCAGTGGGAGGAAGTGGGAGACCCGGAGAAAACCCACGACATTGAACAGGTGGGGAATCGAAACCCTGCCTCTTTGCGCGTTTGACCATCCAACCATCCTGGGGTCATCAGAGAACGAAACCTATCCATATTCAGCATTGTCCGACCTTACCTTTTAGAGTTATTCCGCCTTTGTCATAAATCTTGCTAACATGGCAGCTGTTGAAAGAAATGGGGTTTAATGTCCTACTTATCTGCAGCCTACTCTTATTTCAAATTCCAACTGTCAAGGGTTATTTTATATATACTGAAGTCCAAAAGAAAGTAAACACACTAAAAATATGACTAAGTTTTGTTTAAATCAAAAAAATGTGATAAAACTACACTGAACATGTCTGGTGCTTCCAAACTCAATATTTCTAAGCAAATAAAAGGCAAAACAAATGAACATTGTACCCAAATACCGCATACAATGGAAAAACGACTTTGTTTGAAACAGGACGAAATGAACAGTGTATACTTTCTATTGGACTTCAGTATAGTAATAGATTATAGCAGAGGCGCTAGCCTCAGACCTGAAAATAAAATTGAAAATCTCCAAATATAAAACTGAAAGAATACACTGAATT